TTTCTTTCATCAATTTTTTAAAAATATAGTTTGTCCATATTTTGTTAGATTTGTACCTAAATATATATATTTTTAATTTTAGATTTTGATATTTCTTAGTTCTGTTTGTTTTTCGTTTTCTGGATTTGGGTTTATTGCAGTTTCTTTTTTTTTTTAGTTGCAATTTTCAGTTGTACTTTGCCATATAAATAGTTGACTTTTGTATATGGACCCTGTATCTTGTGACTTTCCTAAATTGTGTATTAATTCTAGTAGTATTGTAGATACTTTGGGATGTTTTTACAACAAAAATTATACTTTCTGACTGGAGATAGTTTTATTCCTTTCCTACTTGTCTCTTTTCATTTCTTCACTTTATTGTAGTGAGTAGAAACTTCAGTACGATAGTGACCACGAGTGCCTTGTTCCTGGTTTTAGGGGTAAAGCATTGTCTTTTATTGTTAAATGTGATGTTAGTTGTAGGTTATTTTAGAAGGACTTCATCAGGTTGAGCAAGTTCCCTTCTATTCCTACTTTGCTGCTAAGTGTTTTTTTTTAATCATGAATAGATGTTAAATTTTGTCAGAAACTTTATCTCTATCTATTGGGGTAACCATATTGATCTTTTATTTCTTAATATGGTAAATTACATAATTTTTTTGACTTGAATGAGCTTTCCTAGCATTCCTAGCATTCTTAGCATCAACCCCTCTTGTTCATGCTTTTCCCTTTTTGTATATTGTTCAATTTTGTTAAGGACTTTTGTGTCTCTGTTCATGAGGGATACTGATCTATGGTCTTGTTATACTGTCTTTGTTTGGTATCAGGGAAATGCTGGCTTCATTTATCGATTTGAGTAATTTTATAATTTAATTAATTTGATTTGTTTTTCTCTAAGATTGTATAGAATTGATATTATTCCTCTAAATTTTGGAAGAATTTGCCAGAAAAATATCTGGCCTTCCATATTTCTTTTTTGGAAAGTTTAAACTATGAATTCATTTTCCTAATAATCATAGATCTACTCAGACTGTTTCATTTTGGATGAGTTTAGTTAGTCTGTGGGTTTTGAGTAATTTCTTCATTTCATATTAGTTGTCAAATTTGTGTGCTTAGAGACACTCTTGATATTATTGCCTTACTAGCTATTAATGCCCAAGACATCTGTAATGATATTTCTGCTTTCATTTCCTGATTTATATCTTCTGTGTCCCAATAAGTGTCTGATTTGTGCTTTCTATCTTTTCCCCTTTGACAGTTTTGTGGCTTTGCAACTGTCAAAGTACCTGTTTTTGGTTTTATTGATTTCTCTTCATTAATTCATTTTCAAGTTCATTAATTTCTATTCTTTATTATTTTTTTCTTTCTGCTTATTCTAGGCTTATTTTGCTCCAGTTCTGATTTGACACCTTTGGTTTAATAAAAACATCTCATACTGTAATTTTCTCTCTACACACTGCGTTAGTTGTGTTCCACAAATTTTACTATGTGGTGTCTTCATTTTTCTTCAATTCAAAATATTTTTTTGTTTGCCCTGAGACTACTTCTTTTGACCCAGGCATGATTTAGAAGTTTCTTGTTTATTCTCCAAGTGTTTGAATATTACCCTTCTATTACTGATTCCTAATTAAATTCCTTTATGTTCAGAGAGCACCCTTTGTCTATTTTCTGTTCTTTTAAATTGAGCTTCTCGAATATAAAGGTTCATGTCTTTCACCAAATTTGAGGTTTGTTTATCCATTATTTCTTCAATTATATTTTTCTTAGCAGGCTCTGTTTTTTGTTGTTTTTTGGTTTGTGGGTTTTTTTTGTTGGTTTGTGTGTGCGTGTGTATGTCTTTTGTTTTTTTGCCAATCTTTTTCTCTCTTCATCATTCAGATTGGATGATTTCTGTTGATGTACCTTTATACCTTCAAGTTCACTCTGTCATCTCAAATGCTGGTACTTAGACCATCTTGTGTATTTTTAAATTTCGGTTATTAAATCTTTTCAGTTCTAAATTTCCATTTGTTTTTACTTTATGTGTTATTTCTTTGTTGAGACTTTCTCTTTCCATTCTCTTCAAGAATTCATCGTTACTTTTGGATAATTTTTATAATAGTTCTATTAAAATCTCTTGCACTTAATTCCAACTCCTGTGTTTTTGACATTGGTGTCTATTGATTGTCTTTTCCTGTGTGAGTTGAGATTTTCCTTGTTTGTATGTTGAGTAATTTTGGGTCTTGGCTTGTTTAAATGCTATGGAGAATATTGTTGTTGTTTTTTGTGTTTGTTTTTTTAAGCAGGCTAACAGTCTGCAGGGGTTGAGGCTCCAAGTTCTAACTAGCCACTTCCGGATTGTGGTTTTAACATTAGTTCTGTTTTCAAAGCCTTTGCCATACTCTTCAGATATATTCTGAGTGTACACCTTCCAGAGGCTAGTTTGGGTCCTGGGCAGTGGTCTTAGTTTCTTTTTCAGAGTCTTTGATACGATGTTTAGAATCTGATCTAAGCAGTTGCTGTTCAGGGGTGAACCTAGAAGATTACATACAACTTTCTGGAGTCACGTTCCTGAGTTTCTCTATCTCCATGGTGTTATCTGAATCCCTGGGCTCCCTTTTTTCCCTCCCCTGAAAGCTGATGTTTTACATTTCCTGTTCTGCTGCATAGCTCCCACAGCTACACTCATGTCCAAGGCAAAATGGTGTGTACTTATGTGTCTGTCTCATTCCTTGAGGTTCCTGTTTTGCAGTGAGCAGAAAGATATTACAGATGTTTGGAAATAAGTCAAATTTTAAAGTCCCTCTTTTATCAAATATATACTTGTATGTAGGCCTGGCCCTGATTTTATGTGTAGGGCATTCACATCAGAGATGAACTTTTTACTGGCATGAGTCTTGTAAAATTTTTCCTTTAAAAAAAGCAACCCAAGCCCAGCTGGAGTGGCTCAGCGGTTGAGCATCGACCTATGATCCAGGAGATAGGGTTTGATTCCTGGTCAGGGCACAAGCCGGGGTTGCAGGCTGGATCCTCAGTAGGGGGTGTGTAGGAGGCAGCCAATCAATAACGACTCTGTCATCGCTGATATTTCTCTCTCTCTCCCTCCCTCTCTCTGAAATCAATAAAGATATATATATAAAAACACAAAACAAATCCAAAATATTTTTTAAGGTGGTGTTCTGAGAACATTTGTTATTAACTAGGTCATTGCCTCCCCTTTCAAGTCAAATTCTGAATGTCCATATGATATCACCAATGAAAATGTAATTTATCTATGCTGGAAGTTTGGCAAATGCTTATTCTTCATTGTCAATCACCTATTGAACTTTTCTAGAGACACATTCCTAGGCCCCCATCCCTAGAGCTTCTGATTTAGTTGATGTACAGCACAATAAATAAAGGAGAAAACAACCTACATGCTTTTGTCTCCTATTTTAGCCCTCTTGTTTCAATGCCAGACATTTCCATGGTCTGGGAGATTTCCTTTAGGACAGATATATCTGAGAAAGATTGCTGTCGTATTGCTCCTTGAGGGTTGTTAACTCAGCGGGTTCCCCAAGGCCACTAGGTACCATCTGAACAAACAAGGTGCCAAACCCGTTGCACTTGCTTTGGTGAGGGGCTCAGTCTCTCACCATTTTCCCAGGCATATTCTTCACTAGTTCATCATTCTTGAGGTTGTCTCTGAATCATTGAACATGCATTTCTTAGCTGGTTGTTCCCAAACCAGTTTGGCAAGGAGTAGGATTTAATATTATCCTGTCATTTTCTTTATTGTGTTCAAAGATAAAAAATTTAATTTTTTTCAACTGTAAAAAAAATTTTTTTTTAATTTTTTTAAATCCTCACCCGAGGATATTTTTTCCATTGCTTTTCAGAAAGAGTGGAGGGGGAGAGACAGACAGACAGACAGACATCATTGTGAGATACACATCAATTGGTTGCCTCCACCACATGCCCCGACCAGGGCCGGGGATCTCTCCTGCAACCAAGGTACGTTCCCTTGACCGGAATCTAACCTGAGACCCTTCAGTCAGCAGGCTGATTCTCTAACCATTGAGCCAAACTGGCTAGTGCTCAGCTTTTTAAAATTAAGGTATAGCATGCATCTGGTAACTGCTTAACGGGTACCAATCTCAGGTATACAGCTTGAACTTTGCATATGTATGTACCCCTGTGACCACCATACAGTCAAGACATAGAACATCCCCCCGTTCTAGTAGGCTCCTCCATGCTCCTTCCCAGTCAGTACCCTCTTCCCCAAGAGTCAGCCTCTGTTCTGATTTATAATACCCTAATTAGTTTTGCCTGTTCTAAGATTTAATATAAAGATGCAAAATATATACTCATGTTTCTAGTATTTTTAATCAGATGAGTTTTATGGCCAAGCCTTGCTGAGTTACTTAACATTACTGTTTCTGTCTTGTTTATACCTCAGACAGCACAGCTAAACCAAAGTAGATTTAATTTTGCTTTTATTTTAAATTTTTCATAGATGAGAGAATCTTAAAATTATTTAGAAATTTTCTCATATTTCTTTTCCCACTCTAAAAGTTTCAGAGACTTTGTGCTTCATCCACTCAGAGTGTGTGATTTATTCCCACAGATTTTCCTTGCCCTAGCTCCCCTTTTTCCTCCTCTGCATTTCTTTTCTCTCTCTCTCAATCCTCACCTGAGGATATGTTTCTACTGACTTTAGAGACAGGAAGGGAGAAAGAGAGAGAGAGAAACATCGAATGGTTGCCTCCCATACGTGCCCTGATCTGGGATCTAACCCTCAGCCTAGGTACGTGCCCTGACGGGAGTCAAGCCTGTAAGCTCTTGGTGTATGGATGACACTCCAGCCAACTGAGCCACCCGGCCAGGGCACCCTCCTCCACAGTTCCTTCTATAAGTGCATAGTGATGAGGGGAAGATTTCTAAAATCTTATTTTCTGTTTGCTCTTTGCCATGCTAGTGTTTGGTCTCGGGTGAATTCAGGCTTAACCGAATGCCTGCGGTTATTGCATTAACCTCATATTTTCCTTCTCTTCCTTCTGCAGCATGATGGAAGTGGTTCGTTGCATGATATCCAGCTGTCATTGCCATCTAGTCCGGAACCAGAAGATGGTGATCAAGTACATAAGGTGAGATCAAGTCCAGTAAGAGGAGGTAGTCATGCTGAATTTTTCAAAATTCTCGTTACCAAAATTGTAAAGCAACAAGAATTAAAACATTTACTAATGAATGTTTTAAAACCTTTGGCTTTGCTGTCTTGCTTTCAAGCAAGCCTTTTTTGACAAGCTTGCTTTCAACTTTTGGTACCTTATGAAGTTAAAATAAAATCCCTGTGGGGCTTTAATTTGAATTTATTTTATCAGTTAGATAATCATTTGTCCTTGTATTACAAGGATAGGATTCTTTTATTACAAAATCATTAAATATTTTAAATTCTTTTTTATAATTATGAATAACAATTTTAAAAATGCTATTACCAATACAAATTAAAATGGTTAATAAGTACTTCTCATATGCCATATCTCATTATAACATTGAAGAAATATACTGAAAATAGATTAATTTATCTTTTTTTCATGTTTAAAAATATAATTATAGAATATAGGTACATTTTAGTGAGTGAAAGTACTTTTTTTATAATTCTCATCTGTAGGTCTATTTTTAGTTGGAGAAAGCTTTTTTTTTGCAGCTATTTTTGAAGCATATATTTATATATTAAATACATACAAGTATTCCTGATTTATTTAATTCTTGATTTATACATTTTTTTGCTTTTACATTCTGTTTTCAGGGTATGCTAGTCAGTGTTTGCTGGTCATCTGCAGTAACGACCAATCTTGAAATGTTGGTGCCTTACAATAAGAAAAGTTTACTTCTCACTGTTATATCTTAATATGTTACCTATTGGCTGTAAATCAGTTGAGATTCTGCTTCATAAGTCTCCTTCTTTCTGGGATTCAGGCTAAAGAAGGATCAGCCCCTGTCCTCTGACATGGTGTTTTCGTACCTGAAGGACAAGGGCATTAGTAGAACCACATGTGGCTCTGCCTGGATGTAATAGATGTTTCTTCCATGACAAGTCAAGTGACCAAGCCTGCTGTTACGGACCAGAGAAGCATAATTTTCTCGCAGGATGTAGAATGACTTACTGGAAACAAGATTGTATATAAACAATCAAAATCAAAAGAATATAGGGTAGTAGCCACATCATGGCTTTTCAACATGTTACTACCTGCCCTTGCACAAATTTCTTCCCAGCTCTTGACCCCTATTGATGTTGTGAATGTAATAATGCCCTAAGTCAGCCAGCCTGCAGCAGAGCATTCTTTAACACACACACGTGTGCATGCGTGCCTGTTGAGAACCATTGACTTATACCATCTCTGATTATCTCAGTTGACTTTTTTTCCTGCATTCCTTTTGTGAAAAGTTTTTTACATGTAAAAAAATTCTTTTTAAAGAAAAATGTTTTAATTTCCACTTTTTTACACAAGTATCATTTTTCCCCACTGTTCCTTTCTTGTTTATATATTTAATATTACATGATAGACATATTGTTACACAGCATTTATTTTTAAACAATAACCCATTTATTTAATCTATGATTGCATTTTAGAAATGCGTGCTGGGTTCAGCTCAGTGTGTTTCTGTTTCTGCGGGGCTCACTCATGCCTCTGCAAGTGCTGGGTCAGCTGGGAGCTAGCTGATTGTTGGCTGGGGCACACACCTGCTCCATGTAGTCTTTCTTCCTCCAACAGGCGATTGCTGTGTTATTCACTTCGTTGAAATATCAGGGGTCCCCAGAGCCAGAGAACGTGTGTGAGGCCTTTTAAAGCCCAAGTTTAAAACTTGAACAACTTTTCCGTTCTCACTTTCTATTTATCATAGGAAGTCATTAGGCCAGTTCAGATTTGAGGAGTTGAAAAATATATTGGAAAGGGAAGAATTTGTATCCATTGTTTGAAATCTATATTATACAACTTTAAGAAAAAAATCTGTTTGGCTGGTGATTCCCTACATTTTTCATATGTTCAATAATAGTTTCATCGTTTGTGGTTTCTGCCCTCTCCCTCCACTCCTTATGTAAATTGAATGTTGGCCATCATTTCCATGGGGAAAGACCATATTTCTGTGGACCTCCTTGTTTTATACTTCACAGAATGAAAACATGTCAGTCAGCCCTTCTTTTTTCAAAAAATTTCCATAATAATCTGTGCAAATTTTTAACATCATTGTCATATACCTGATATACTATTTGCTACTGGCTTTCTTGCTCTTACATGACCTCTTGAGGACAGTCACTTTATCTTACTTTTTAAAGACTGTATCTTTATTGTTGAAAGTATTACCGATGTCCCCCCCATTAACTCCCTCCACCCCG